TGTGTGTGTGTGTGTGTGTGTGTGTGTATCCAAACAAGTAGCTAAAATGAAGAAATACAAAACACAGTACTCACCGTATTCGAAGAAGAAAACAAACCGATACCGTAAAAGCACGGTGACGTCCCAACAAGGTCTGGCAGATTTAGGGCAAATTCAGAAGTTTCATCAGCAACAATAAAGGTTGGCCCAAAAGCGACAAGTTGCACCAGGTCTTCAAAGGTGAAAGTCATGAAGTCAGAGCTAGTTTGGTTGCCAAAGAGCAGCGTAAATACATTCCCGAGAGCGATCCCCTGTTAACGGGACAACAGCAGTTATCAATACGTTACAATTTATTATGTGTTAGAGAACAAGACATGTGCTATGAACTGACTCACAAATGCTTCAACGTAAGTCTCTCCATAGTAGTTAATGGGACACTCGAACAAGGGAATAAGTGGACCAATAGCTTGAGATGTTGCGCCTACAGACAAAAAGACATGACAAAGTCAGTCGGCAGCAGTCCACACGAGGTGACATACATCCTGAAATCAAATCTGAACACCTGTAGCAACATGTCATAGCGATTCGCTTTTGTCACCAAGTATTACCGTGTACAAGTCAAACATTCAAGTGAGTCGAGCACATTTGTAAGAGAGGTACAGCACCTGTACGACTTAAAATTTCGGGGCCTTTTTTCGTTGAGAGCCGCCTGTGCGCTCGGTGTAAAAAACGGGCGCATCGAGTCAATGTTTGCTTCCGCAATGTCAAGCTCACGTCTGCTTCAACCGCTCGGATTTTCAAGGGAATCAATTGGCCGTAACTTCGACGGCGTTCTATGCCACACTGGCGCAAACGCGCTATTCCACCTGTGCAAGTCTCGGAAAAGATCAAAAGAAAAACAATTCCACCCATGTGCAAAATTAGACTGTGCTTTGTGCGAGACTATAATGTGATGAAAGTTGGCATAAAGTCAATGAATCAATGACGTCATTGATAATTTTCATCACAGCAACGTCTTTTTGGGCCGTCGACGAGTTTCACGTACGTATTTATTCCGACACACTGGCAAAGAAACAAATAAAAACAGTTGATTCAAAGTTCAACTCACCATCATGCTTCATGTAATTGTAATTAGTGGGAGACCTGCACATATGTTTGTTCTATCAACGGATCGCATCTTGTGTTCCATTGCATAGTGTTTTAACACCGGACATTGTAACAAAGCACCCAAAAAGTAAAGCGTCTCTCTCCTTCACTGTTTCTAGTTCACTTGTGCTTTTATTGTATTTGAGGACAGACTGCCGTCTAATTTGGGGTATTTATACGTATGCCACATAGACAAGCTTCAACCATGCGGACTAGTAAAGTTGACTTGACGACTAATTGGTTCAACCACAAGCATAAAAGAAGAAA